TGTGTGTGTGTGTGTGTGTGGTATATGCGCGCACGTATGCGTGGCTATGTGCATGTTGCCTTAGGTTGGTAGAAAAGGGCTGGATTACGCGTCCTTGACACAATTTTCTTCATTGTTTCTCTTCACGTATATTTATCATACTATATGTATATGTATGCGCGTGTGCGCGTGTCGCGTGCACGTGTGCTTGCACATTTTCACGGAAAACTGTACAAAGCTATATAGATTATTCGTAGTATGCGTTGCATCGAAAGTTTCTCTCGAACGGTCGGTTGCCGTGATAGAATACATGCGTTGGATAATAGTCGAGATGAAGTTTATAGTAGGCGGCATGTCTACTACGTTGAAACATTAAGACTCAAGACACGCAAACAACGTCTATACGCCTACGGCATGATCAATCGTGCGTCAACTCCAAGGCGAAGGCTTAACCTCGTCGACACCCGGTACAGCCAAAATTTATGACGTTCCGAGTGCTTTTGGCTAGCATATTACTACGTCTGGGCAGATTAATCATACGAACGAATGTAGGGAAAGTTTGAAAACGATTCTACATTTAAAGAAATTTTGTCAAAACGAAATATTTCTGTTAGTTTACTATTTACTTAATACTAATGTTATATAATTATTATAACGATTATTTTCATCTATTATTATTATTATTGTATTTATCGTTCATATATATATATATAATCTTCATAAAATTAATAAATTCATCCTGTCTTGGTAACATGTATTTCATTATTCACATTCATATTATTCTCTTTTTTTTAACTCTTTATTTATTATTAATATTTATTATTAATAACGAAACGGTATTATAGGGAAAATTAGCATAATTGATTATACACCATCGTTGATTTCTCGTCATATCAAACATATTACGTATTACATTATTGTTAAATAATTGATTATATTTATATTAGCTTCATTAATATGAAAAATAACATATATATATATATATATATATAATATTTGGCTAAACGTGTAATGACGAATTCACAGAAAAAAGCATAACGAACGAACAAACGAACAAGCGAACATTTTTACATTCATTGAAGATCTTTTCTAAAAATTAAGAGGAAAATACTTAAAGCAAATATCTTCCTTATGTTCTCGAAGCAACGTTACGTGCGAATAATATTATCTTTGGTAGTACTTTACACAAGGAAGGTAAGTACGTATACGTATCTAATGAGTTGAGCTTGCAGGGAGAGTAAGCGCAGAGTATAATGAGAATGAATTATGGAGATGCGCGAAAGTAAACGGCGCGAAGTAAGGTCGCGCTGCGATTTTGCACATCTCTCTCTCTCTCTCTCTTTTTCTTTCTTTCTTTTTTTTACCTATCTTTCTATCTCTATCTCTTATCCTCTTAATCTATTATTCTCACGATCGTTACTCATCAAATTTTAATTAACTTTTACATTAATTTTTGTTCTTCCTAATATACACTTCGAGTTACTACAATTGATACATGTTATTATTAATATTAACGTGTACTCCACGTTACAAGATCACATAGCAATAATTTTGTTACACCTATGTAGAATGTTTTCTCGTATTTACCTGTTAACGTTTTTTTGTCACGAGTGTTAAACAGAACGTGTTTTGTATTCTAAAGCGAAAGGCGTGATGCGCGTATGCATTTATTGAGTGGGGATATCATGCAAAAACTTGTTTGTTCTAAAACGCAATAGAGAATCGTTTCGGGAATACAAAAGCGAGAAGACATTTAAAGATTGTTCGCGGATAATTGAATTCTTGCACTTGAATTTTAATACTCTGAGAAAATAATCCGTTCACGAATACGACGTTGTCGCATCGAAATTATTTGCGCATATTTGATTTCATCGTTGAGAGCAAGAATTTTGATTTATACCATTAAAAAAATATTACAGGATAAAAAGGAAACGTTTAGCGAGTTATACTTCATATTTGATCATATTTTATAATCGAATAATATTATTACAATTTGAATTGTCCATAAAAATGTTTGAAGAGTCTGAATAAAAATTATGTTTCATTTCTTAATATACGATAAAGGGTAACGTTCTTCCAAGAATTTTGATATCCTTCAATCAACATAACTTCGAAATTCCAACGTTTAAGATTCCGAAAGATTTCATGGGTGTACTAAGTTACAGACACATATATAGACGCTTTCGGTAAATATCATAAAAATCTAAGGATCCAAGAACGAGATAGATTCGTTCAAGAGATCTATAAAATGACTATGATATCTACATTATATCATAAAACTCAACGTTTCAGTACGATTTCGAAGATCTTTGTAGCTAACTGCGGTCGTTCATACGTTAAACGAAACGTTCAAATATTTGTCGATGATTGGAATAAAATTTCGAACGATCGGTTAAAAAAAAAAAGTCGAACGGCAAACGGCGAACAAGTCGAATCATTTTCTACGTTCAATCACGATGAAATTAGAGTATAACAGTCGATTTGAAATCATTCGCGGCATTTGATATCGTGGAACAAAGGGTCGTTGATTCGATTTTAAAGATGAGAAAAAGATTTGAGATTTACAAAAAAAAGGAAAGGAAAAGAAAATAGTAGAAAATATCAAAATAGAAGGTGTAAAAGAAAACGAGAATTGCCATTTCGTGGCGTGATATTGAGATTAAATTGAAATGTTGTAGTAAAAAAAAGATACGCAAAAGAAAATAAAATAAGGATAGAAATAGACTCACTTTGAGCTCGATGACGTGGTACACGGTCGGTCCTCCTGAGGGGGACCAGTTCGTTGTCGTGAAAAGAAAAAGTTATCGTCGAACTCCCTTTTTGATTCCCACGACGACAACCGACACACTGTTGTGGGCGCGCGCGCACACGCACGATAGTAAAAAGAACAAAAATATCGCAATATCGAGTTCGTTGTTTCAACCCTCAACCGAGGGCTGCGGTCGAGAACACATGACGATCATCGCCTTTGTCCAGGATCGTCGATGATCCTGTTCTCTTTTGTTTTCATATGATATACACACAAAGAAAAACGAACTAACTTGATTTTTGACTCGGACACAACGAAGATACGTTATCGAAGGTTCCTTGAGTATCCTTAAACGTAGATATCCTTTCGAGGAAACTCTTAAAGAGACGCAGGACGCACGACCTTCCTCGATCACTGCTTCAGGTACACTGTCACGTCACACCGCTGCACTCGCGGCCACGGCTAGCGCACGTACCCCGAAAACGTACTACACCACTCAGTTTATTCTCTATATCGTAGCTTTTTTTTAAATTTATCTCTTTTTGTCTCTTACTTCCAGTTTAACTTTCTTCCTCTCACTCTCCAACTATCTCTCTTTCTTTCTCTTTCTGTTTCTCTTTGTATTGTTTCACTCTCTTTCCGCCGTATTATATTATAAAGACTTTTCGTCGGTGAACATCCTCAAAGTAAACCGTGTCAGCTCTTCGAGATGATAATGTAACAGCGACGGTGGTAGCTCGTGTCGTCGATGTCACCCCTGCACTCTTTACCTTTTCCTTTGCATCTTTCTTCTTTCCTCGAGAGAAAAAACCAAGGAAAATAAAAGCAAGAAAGTACAATCACCAAGTTAAATTCTTCTCCCTAAATCCAAAAGCATCGATAATCCTACTGTTGATGTAAGATATCCACTTTTATTGCAGCGAAAAAAAAGAAATAGGACGACGAAAGAGAAAAAAAGCGAGAACGCGCGCACGTAGCCACGCACGCATGCACGTACGCACGCGGCCAAATTTCAATAACGACGAGAACAACGACGAAACCGATGACGATGACGGTTAAAATGACGACAACGACGACAACGACAACGACAACAACGACAGTAACAGCGACGACAACAATAAGGATGACGGTGACGGTGACAGTGTGACGGTGACAGTGACGATGACAACGACAACGGCGGCGGCGGCAAGTAGAAACCCTAAGAGAGAGGAGAGACCCTTAGGCTGGATCCGTCGAGTTTCCTTTAGCCTCAATTTTCGGTCCCCGCCACCCCCGCGTTGCACAGGCGCGAACCGCTTTCAGAATTTCCGAGGGTCGAGCGCCGCGCACGCTGGAGCGACGAGGAGGAGAGTGCCTGGTGGGAACACGCGCGCGCAAGCATGAGAGAGAGAGAGAAATAGAAGTCGAGTGGAACCGCGGGGGGATGCGAAAGAGATGGTTGTGGGGGTGTACTGGATCGAGGTCGTCACTGTTCTCTCTCTCTCTCTTTCTCTCTCTCTCTCTCTCTCTCTCTTTCTCTCTCTCCCTCTTCTCCCTTTACTCTCGCACACGTTCGGTGTAATTCGAGAGGACCAAGAAAACACAGCCTAAACTGCACTAGCCTCTATACGAGACTTGCATATTATATCCTAATAGTCAATAAATTATTTTTTTCTTTTATTTTTCTATTAATCTTATTTTATCTCTAATTTCTACTTTTATTTTTATCGTTTTCGTGTTTATATTCCCTCGTGTCGTATAAATAGTCCTTTTTCTTTCGTATGGAAAGTTATACGTCGTCAGTGCGACGAAAGGATCGTGGCTAGCACCGTGGCTGCTACTGTCGGCGCTGCCGCTCTGCGTGGCCGACAATCTTCCTTTGGTGGGGATTTAATGGTGGGGAGGGTGGCGCAGGCGTTTTGCTGCACCAACGCATTGATCCCTGGAATTCGTGGGGACGACGACGATGACTACAACGACGACGACTACTACTACTACTACGACGATGACGACAACGACGACAACAACAGCAACGACGGCGACGACGACGACGAGGACCAAGCGCGTGTCCACCCTTGACGAGAGAAGAAGGAGATAACGAGGGCTGCTGGTAAAGGTGAGGTAGTGGGGATTGGTAGGAAAGAGAGTACCGACCCTTCCGAGCAGAGTCGTGTCTGCTACGAACCTTGAGTGTCGCCTACACCTGCGGATCACCCAGCGACTACCCTCTTTTTACCACCTCCTTCCCTAGCAAACCCTCTCTTTCTATACCTCTTTCTCTTTCTCTTTCTCTTTCTCTTTCTCTTCCTCTTTCTCTTTCTCTTTCTCTTTCTCTTTCTCTTTCTTTCTTTTCTTTCCTTCTTTCTTTCTTTTTCTGCCGCTTGAACGAGACGACACTCAGTCAGCCACGATCGAGGATCTCTACGACTGATCGAAGACTCGATCTCACAGATCACCTCCTACCAAGTGCGCTGAGTAAAAGTAATCGTCGAAGAAGTAAAAAGGACGAATTCGTAGATCGTGCACCGCAAACTTTTCCACCGATCGTTTCTACCTTTTCTCTCTTTCTCTTTCTCTCTTTCTCGACGATTTTCTTTACGATTGTTATATTTTTCCTTCTTGTTTCTTACTTTTTTTCTTTTCTATTTTTCTTTTCTTGTTTGGTGTTCAACACCTTCGATCGTTGAGCGAAAGACCGGCTTTCCGCTCGATACGAGATTGGATTTATTTGTTATATTCTTTAAATGGATAATGTATTTCGTTTTTCGATGTGAACCGACGGCACGGTGGCCTCCATTGTGATGAGATGAATGCCAAGGATGAAGAGCTACGGTAGGAACTAAGATAAACACAACAGATCGAGTGAGCGAGTGTGCGTGTATAGGCATATGTGTGTGTATATGTGTACATATATATGTGTGGAAGAGAAAGAGAAAGAGAAAGAGAAAGAGAAAGGGAGAAAGAGAGAATGTGAAGATGTAGGGCAAAAGGAGCGAGAAGGTTCGAATCCTTCGACGATCCCGAGTCACTTTTCTTCGAATAAGCGCTGCTCGAAAGAGTCCGAGCTATCGATGGAATTGAATCCTTCCGTGTGATGCACGAGGACCATCGATTATTTTATCGGCCGAATCGCTCGGGGTAACTCTCCTTTTAGAAGTCGATTCGAAGTCGGCCTACATATCGCGTTTACCGCGAAATGCGAATAAAAAGGAGGTTTACGATCGAAAGGAAAAGGTAAAGAAGGATAGAAAGAAAAGGGATCCTTTCTTTCCCGTTTACTTATCTCTCTCTCTCTCTCTCTCTCTCTCTCTCTCTCTCTAATTCTCCTCTCCACTCCTTAATTTCGATGCTTTTCGAATGAAAGAAATGTTCTTATAATTTTTGCTTTTATTTATTTCGATAATTGTTAAATGAAAATTATCAGCTATTTCTTTTAAAAGATATTCCCTCCGTTCTATAATGTATAAAATAGAGAGAATGAATTTACCTTGAAAGAACGGAAGAATTAAAAATCAGATAAGACAAAATATTTGGTAATAATGAAAAATCTTTTATCGATTCGACACGAACTAGTTAAACAGGAACAGTCGAAATTCTCTCTCGAAATAAGTATTAATTAATTAGGAAAGTACGTCTATAAGTCAAACGGTGAAAGACCTATTTAACTTTTGCGAATACTTAAGGAATCCGATTTTCTCTCCAAGCTCTTCTTCGACTTTTTTTTTATTTTTCTATTGCTCGTGAGAAAGACCAGAAACGATCGACCTTTTCCTGATTTTACGATCGAAAGAAAATAACGTTGGATCGAACGAACTCACAGAAAGAAAGAGAGAAAGAGAAAGAGAGAGAGGGAGGGAAAAAGAAAATGAAAAAGAGAAAGAGAGTGACGTTGCTCTTTCGTAAAATATTCGAAAAGTCGGCGCCGCATGGATATGTACTAATACTGAATAAGTAACGAATAAGACGAGCGGCCGATTTCTATCGGCTCGTAAAAAATCCACATCTTCTTCTACGTCCTTTTCTGCTATCTTTTTTACTTCTTGTAAAAAAAAACATGTGTGCAGATCACACGGATTAGAAGTGAAACCTTAAAAAAACTAAGTTTCGAGAAAATGAGACGAATGCAGAATATCAGGTGTAGGATAATTGTAGAGTTTATTTGTTATAATATTATTATTATAATATTGTTACCACATTCAAAAATTATTTTGCGTTTTATTGATATATAATGCATAACATATTACACAGTAAGCAAGTTCTCAATTTAAAGAATTGAGACATGTTGCTTATGATTATTACAATATGTATGGTAACTAAAAACCTCTCTGCGTGCACGAAATGCACGAACGCGTTCCGTCAAACTTTTTGAAATTTCCCTAATATTTTCTTTCTGCAGATTTTCACGACACTGTTCGGCCTTAATTTTTGGTCGAGAGACACTTGAACCACAATTCACAATATCCAATTGCAAATCATCTAAATAGAAAATAAAAAATAATGTTACAAAAATGATCTATTGAGACTATGCTTGTCTAGTATGAGTAGAAAGGACTAAGAAAGAAATATATTGATTGGAAGCTATTTAATGACTTACGATGATCGTTTTCACTATTTCTAACAGTGAACGCATTATTTGTATTAGAGATTAGAGATATTATTCTGCACATTTAATAACGTCTTCTGGCGTGCACGAAATGCACGAACACGTTCCGTTGAACTCTGGAATCTTCCTAATCGTGTTTTTCTGCTTTATTTCACACATTTTTCTATAGTTTGCGAATTTTTTAGATTGTTAAAAAGATATATAAAATATAAAGTATTCTGGCCTAAGCGAAAAGCTATAATGAGGGGAAAATGAAAGAATTTAAAATAAGAAATAAAACATGTGATCGTACCTAATAGATGGTATAATAAAACCTTATTTGTTCGTTAAAGAAAAGCTTCCCTTCCTAAGAAACTATAGTTTATATATTAGAAATATAGAAACTATACAAAGTATAGTAAGTACTATTACTAAAGCAATTATAGTGCTAATTTTCGATACCACTTGATACTTTTCCGTATTTTTGTGGCATATGAAATCATTTGATCACTTTTGTCAATGCCAGTTTTCCCATTATTATATGCTAGTTCTGCGGAAATGACTGTTGCGTTTTAGCGAATCCGTTCTACTGTAGTATCAATGTGTCTAATGAACTACCAACAGAGTTCAATATCTTTTTCTTCGTTTATAGCAAGTTTATTCAGCATGTCGTCAGGGTCCTCACTAGCATATGATCCTTCTGTATCGGAATTTGAAGGTGAAATTCTATTTACAACTTCATCATCACTACTCTCCTCACTTTCAATTATATTTTTACGCCGTCTAATGGACATTCTTAGGATAAAAAAGTAACTGGTCTATCTTTAAAAATTATGCTTCTCGACTTAATAAAGGATCTTGGAAAACTGCAGTAAGATCCCAGGTAGTCCTCTAGCCGAAAAACTTGTAATAATCCTCATTTCGAAACAAAATTCTTTGCGATAAATAGAAGATAATTTTATATTTTATTCTTTAAGACAAATAGAAGATAATTTTATATTATATTTTTTACTATAAAAAAATATAACTTTGTGCTTTATTCTTTGAAACAAAAAGAAGATAATAATATCATAATATAATCATAATATTTTAGTTACATCTTATATTCCTGCTTACCGCTTGTTTCCGTTACGGCGCGCCGACAGTCGGATTTGGGCCTGGCGAGAAACTCAACCGAATCGCGCTGGGCGACGAACATGTTAAGTAAAAGGTGCGAAGGACCTATCATTCTACAAAAAACATTCTATATTGTTGTTATATTAAAATCAAAAAATCAAAAAATAGCAACAACTTTACATCGCAGTTGCGTCTACTCAACCTTACACTGAGAAGATTTGATATTATATTACCAGTATCATCCAGTAAAAAAGAATTGTAAATTATTCTGATGCTGGAGGTTTTTTTTCACAGTTTTCATGAAATAATTTTGCTTAGGAGAAAAATGCGAACACTAGCGGCCCGTCGATGAACTAACTTCTGTTTTCAAGGTAGTTCTTCGATTGACGACTATACAAGTTTAGTATCGAGACTATATGAGTCCACGCTTTGTAGTATGCAATCGCACACAAACACACACACACATATACAAAACTTAGTAGCCAGAAGTGGGGACTACAAAGCATAGCATAAAGAGGAGACCGAAAATAGGAAATACTGTATAGCTATATTCAGTCTCATTCTCTCGCAGGCTCAATTCTATATGTTTGTCTCTTTTTCTCTTCTTACTAAATATCGTGGCCGTTACATAGACGCCCGCTGCTCCGTTACATCGCCGCCACGTTTCACTTTTTTCAAATCACTCCCTATTCTAAAGAAGTTTTCACTTCAGAAAGTTTTCTGTAGTTTTAGAAATGGCAAACCGGACAGCACGATCGGACGCGTAACGAGGCTCGAGGTATAAGAGGAAAGTAACGATTGGACTATCTGTCTTTTGGAAAAAGAAAAATAGTAGGTGAGAGAAAGATTTAAAGAGAGAAATAGTAGTGGCGGGATAAGGGAGGGGGGTAGGGGTAGAAAAGGAATAAAATAGATAAAGAAAGCGCGAAGAAGGCGAGATCGTTTGCGGAGAACGAATCGTTTCCGAGCGTGAAATCCTTCGTGTTTTCGTAAAGATTGTTTGATATATAGAGAAAGAGAGGGGAGGGGTTGGCCTTCGTCGATACAAAGCAGAAAGGATAGGGTATAGTAACGCGACCCTTCGTTAGCCGCGTCCGATTCCTTCTGTGTAACCATTCGCGTTCGTCTT